AAGATCAATCAAAAGACTTAGAAATATTTTGTTTTAAATTCTTCTAATTTTCTAAAAGGATAATATTCTTAAATATCTCAGAAGTATATATAAAGGAGCATTCAGCACCTAAAAGTTTTTTTGAGCTCTTATATATCCTGAAAGTTTTATTTGTAACATTTCTATCATGAACTGTTATCCACCATTTAGTTTAATCACTAAAAACATTGGTCAAATTGTATAATTTAACAGTTAAATTTAACGGTAGATAATAACCATGGTATTTTTGTTATGAAAATAAACTTTCAAAGCATATAAGAGTATAAAATAAAAAAATTTCAGGTGCTGGGTGCTCTTTCGTGAATACCTTCAAGATATTTAAGCACCTTATCTCTTCTCTAAATATTTTTATCTTTTAAATTAGATAAAAGTGTAGGTTTGATTCTCTCACTTTAGATAATGTTTTATATTTTAACTAGACCCTTTAATTTTAAAAAAGTATCTTTTTAATCCTCTAACTCTATTTCTATTCATATTAGATTATGATTTTTTTCAAAACAATCATTCTTATCTTAAAAATTAAATTTAACATGTCAGTATTTAGAATATTTCATCAACATTTAAAATATAATTTCAGTAATTTTTTTAGTAAAACATTAAGTGTACACTATTACTATAAAATTATTTTGCAAGTGATTTTATTAGTATTAATCAAATCATCCTAAAGAGAAAAATTATTTCTCAAATTACCAACAAAAAGGTCCGCACTTATCAAGTGAAGTGGTTGACTTTTCACTATTAGGCAGCCGTGGAGGTGCCAACATTCACCTCGTCTGGTATGGGTTAAGAGCTATTATTAATCTACTATGCAATGAAAGAAAGTAAATTATAAAATCTATAGATTGTTATATTATTTACATTAAGATTACAAGAAAATAAAATAAAGAGTTTAGGTAAAAATCTATTCATGAAATATTCGTGAATGTACTTTGATATCATAATGTTCACTTGAGTGTAAAAATAAGACTGATGAAGATTCCAATAGGCTACAAAAATACCATGATCGTTAATTTAAGCACACGTTAATAATTTTTTTAATTACATTAAGATTACAAGAAAATAAAATAAAGAGGTTAGGTAAAAATCTATTCATGAAATATTCATGAATGTACCTTGATACCATAATGTTCACTTGAGTGCAAAAATAAGACTCATGAAGATTCCAATAGGCTGCAAAAATACCATAATCATTAATTTAAGCACACGTTAATAATTTTTTTAACGGCAGGTCCCATATTCGTTTATGTTCTAAAAGTTAACCAATGTTTGCTTGAATTAATGGCCATGACTTTTGTGCATCTTTTTGAAATATTTATGAGTATTTTTGCATCCAAGTGAATATTATAATGTCAGGTGCATATTTACAAAATGCTTTATAAGTATATTTGTACCTTAAATCTAAAATAAAACCATGGCAAGAAAAAGGGACAAATCACAAGCAAAACGTTGGAGACATCGAACTTCTTGGTTTAATTTATCTGTAATTCTTTTATAATTTATACGTGATTACGCATATAAAGCTGCTTGGAGTGCACAAATTGCAGACGACCAGCTAGCTAGATATTTTTATGAAGAATATGAGAGGAGGGAACAATAATTGAAAGTGAGGAAACCAAACATGTCGTTTGACAGATGAGAATGTACTTTGTGTTTTGTATCTGATTGAGACTGTTTCTGATCATTTATATCCTTATAGGCATTGAATCCAAACATGTTTTTGACTCTGCACTCCTTTGCACCTCTTTCTATTTGCAAACATGGGGCCCTCCATTCTAATTATATGTCTCTTGATATTTCCATATCATTTTCAGTCCAAAGCTGCTTTGTGATTAATATGATCCTTTTTCCTTTATTTTGATTTTTTTTTAAGAAATGTGAAGGTTGGTTTGTACTTTTTAAAGTTTCTTTGATCATAAAGATATTATAATATTAAATGTTGGGTTATGTTTTTTTAATCTTCTTTTAATGATGAGCTAGACAACTTTACTCACCCAACCCACTTGACACACTGTTAATCTTTTATTTTTAAATGAGGAATTAAACTCCTTCTGTTCTATATTTATAAATTATAAATATTGCGACTCATTTCAAACTTATAAAAGAATCTCCTATCTACATAAATTTTAACAAGGATATAATAAACATTGCATGATTCCATATTTTTCATGCAGGGGGATTACTTATGAGTGAGACATGACATTTAATTTGATTTAATTAAAAGCCGATTCCTTACTTTTTTTAAAAATTAATAAAGGCACAGTCTTGTGTTTAAAATTATCTTTGTTGTATCAAATCACTTGTATGTTGAAAATTTATGTTAGATCTTGACTTATTTAGGTCAGGTTGAGAAAGACAAGAAGAGTAATAAATCTCTTAACCAATATTTAATGCAATTACATCCTCAAAATTTGAACCCAAAATTACTTGTTAAGTTAGCACAACTTATCTGTGGTTATATTTAAAATTATCCTTTTTGTTACGTATTTAGAAGGGTTAATATAATCTTTGGTCTATAAAATTTGTTCTCATTTTGATTTTAGTCTCTCAAATTTCAAACTATAGGTTTTGGTCTTTCAAAGGGCAAAATAGTTCAAGTTTTTATTAGATTCTAAAAACCAATATTTTAAATGAAAAGAAACTTAAAAGACCAAAATCTATTATTTGAAATTTGATGGATCAAAACCAAAATAAGGATCAAATTGAAAGATCAAGGTTTGTATTAATCATATTTAAAATTATTTTGACAACACAGTTGAAAAGATATTAACACTAAACGCAGAATGAATTGATTCCACGTAACAACCGACCAAACTGATTGGATGTGTGAAGAAGTGCAAGTGGTTTTCAAGTTGGACAGTAATTTGGGTGAGAAGTTTGAACCAAAACCACAAATTGTGGTGAGAATATCTGACTGGTGAAAAAGAAGCAGCCACAAGATGGCCCAAGAATCTCTCTCTCTCAGAGACACAGAGGGCTTAATTATGAAGGACTCGATCAATCGATCATGCATTTTGTGTGTGTGAGTCTATTTATGGATCCCTCAATGAATCTGAGAAGGGGAATACTTACTATTGTGAAAATGAAATGAAAGAACAATGACGGATTGTGACAATACTTCAGTTGTGAGGCAGATATAGGAGAGGCATTAACTTGGACTGGACATTCCCTAACTTGGCCATTGTTCGTACCACCAGCCCCAAAAATAAAATTTTAAGAAAAAAGAAATTTTATTTTAATGCACATCAAGATATTTACTATCGGTAGCTATAACTAATTCTACTGTTGCGAGCCTCCACTGAAAGGTAAACAGCTAGCCGTGAGATCACTTGGTTAAGAGACCAAGTGAGATAACCACTAGGCCACAACGGCATGGTTTAAGAAAAAGAAAATATACTCTTCTGGTTCTTAATGTAAGACCCATTTAATTAATTTGATTAAATTAAAGAAGTTAGGTAAGTTAGTTAATTATAAGAAATGTGACACATTTTTCTTAAAATACCATAATCATCTTTCTTAATACCCTATCTCCCTCTTCTACTTGATTATGGTTGAGAAAGTATTTATAGGGGTAATTTAGAGAAAATTGATAAATATGATAAATGAGTCTTATATTTAGGACCAAAACCAACTCAACAATTAGGTTTTACATTAAGGACCGGAAGAGTATGACTATAACTTTTGCAAAGAGCAAGACTTGAAGAGCCACTTCTCACCCTCTTTACAACACATTAAAAAAAAATTAGGAAACTTTCCATGCGAAATTAGACGGTCATCTTTGACATGTATTGTTCGAATTATGCTGTTAATATGTACAATATTATTTAATTTATTTGACAATTAGAGTTTAGGTAAAATTTAAAGTTTTAATATATCTTTTATGATGGAAATTGGCGACTAAGTTTTGAGTCGAGCTTTAAGTGGCTCAAGCTTCCTCATAGAGCTTTCAGCTTGACTCTTTACAGGGTCTAGTGCCCATTATATTCACCATGAATTCTCACACAATCACTCCCTCTATGAAACTAGCAAGAAGATTAGACATCTCGTTCTTGTTATGAGAGACTGGATGATCACTTTTGACCATGTGTTTAGAGACGCAAACACGTGTGCCGATCCAGAGTATGCTAAATTACTGCTGATTCCTCCACTTCTTGATCTTTTGGTTTGAGTTACTATTGACTGTTTGATGGCCGAAACTTGTGCAAAACTAGAGGATTATGATTGTTTTTGTGGTGGCTGACGGCACAGCTATGGTTTTTGGGAAAATGAGTAGAGTTTTCTTTTTTTGATCAAAGGTGTTATAGGCCATTTCTCAATATAAACAGACACATTGGTTACAAATTATATCATAGTTTTATAGTTATGCCAAACAAACTTTTAATCCCACTTTCACTTTTACACTTTTATTTCCAATTCCTTCAAAAACTATTCCCAAAACGAGGCATCAAGATGAAAGAATATTTTGAGATTTAGGGAGTGTTTGGATACCTTAAAAAGTACTTCTCAGAAGCACTTTTTTACAAATTGAGATAAACTCATCCATATATTTACCTTGTAGACCGTAAAATCACTTCTAAAACCATAGTTTAGTTTTCATCCAAACACCCCCTTAATGACTTGATTTCTCTTACACGATTTGTCTGTGTCCTTATTATAATAGTAGTAATAATAATAAGCAATTTCTATTGTTTTTTAATTGTCTCATGTTTAGATCTAGTTATTAATAGTCCATAATAATGTCATACAATCCATGGAGCCAACCTCATCTAATGAGATGAAGCTTGCTATTGTTGTGGAAGTCTCCCGAGTTTATGGTAAGCTAATTTAGAGTTGATATACACCAAAGACACGGTGGGTTTTGATTGGATCATGTACAAAGGCTTGCCGAAAGACATACTCAACAAGTGCAACTTAAATTTGGAGTACCATTGCGGAATGATAATCCTGCTAAAACCTAACTCAAATTTCAGATAAAAGAAATCATAAAATGGGAAACAATTAAATATATCAAATAAGATAAAATAGAAAACCAAAGAAAACCTACTAGAAACAAAATACAGCCATAATAATAAATTAATAAAATTCTAAATAAATCCTAAATAATATCCTATCATAAATCCTTGCTAAATATCCTTATCCCATTATTTATTTCCTTCCACCATTATTATTTATTTCTTTTCACCATTTGCGAGACGCCGGCATCCAGTAAGGTGTTCCAGACCTGCAAATTTTCAGGTATTACAGTTATTAATTAATGATCTTCAAGAAAATAATACAATAAATTACATTACACTCACTTTCAATTTTCCCTTGTAGCCTCCTATAGCCAACAAGAAAGGATCGTCCTTTGAGAAAGAAATAGAGAAGACAGGTCCCTAACGAAACCGAGAGAAAATGCAAAAAGTTATAACACATCCATATCAGTATCAGACACTCAGCACTTGAATTGCACTTAAATAGTCATGTCTTGTATTAGTGTCAATAACTCAATAGCAGTATTGCTCGAGTTATTGGACTTATTATATTCAAAGATAAGGCATTCATCGGGGACAATGAAATCGATAGGCAAAAGCCATGTAACTTACTGTCTTAGGATCATAGGATGTTACATGAGACGGTTGTTGGTTTGACAAATCCCAAAGTTTTACCTGCGAAATAAAACAAGCAGTCACTTATGAACTTCCATTATATAAGATACAGACGCAGGATAATAACAAAATGACTTCACAATTACCGTCTTATCCATGGATGCAGTGGCGAGAAGCTGCAAGAAGACATGTCAAGAAAGCACAGTTACACAAGAGCACCCAAGAATTAGGAATTCTGATATGACCAAAAAGTTGAAGATACATACATTAGCTGCTGATATATTATAGGATACTGAGGTAACAGCTTCATCATGCGCGTGAAGAGTGAAAATAGTTGACTGAGATGTTGAATTGGATTGGATAGCACGAACATCGATACCCTTGACAATACCGTTATCAAGACTCACCTAAAATGTAACTTCAAGTCAGGATTGCCCTAGAAAAACCTAATTCCAAACCCATTAAAAATATCATCAAACCCTCATGAAATATGACCATTAAAATATAAGCACTGAATAAAAAGAACAAACCACAAATGAGTGCTCAGCATGTGGATCCCACGCCAAGCTCTCTACGTCAGCTGGAACTGACCACTTAAAGCCAGAATGTGATGGCATCCTTACGTCCTTCTGCTAAGTGTAACAGCATTAGAAACATCGAGTTTATAGTGAAAAATAATGGATAAATATATAAACGTACATAAAATCAAGTTTCACGTACTGACATAACTGAGAAACTACAAATGACTTTCAAAAATTCATTCTCTTTCAGCGTATGAATATACAATTATGACATAATAGGAAGACAAAATAGAACTAACTTGAGATATTAGAACATTACCATGACTACAGTTTTATCAAAAGACCCACTAAGAAGAATTTGTGCTGCATAATGATTCCAAGCAACTGCTTGAACCTGACAGGATAGTTCAACCAGAGTGAATTTGACAGGCATCAGGATAACTACAAAAGTCCCCTAAATCAATCATCTAAAATTAAATTACAATATTTCTCCCTCCTTAATAATGTAGAACTTGACCAACAACACCTCAAGAAAGTCTCATTAAACTGTTAGCTATCTCTGCATATTTAAATTTAAGAATACTGACAAATCTAAAGAGTATTGTAGAACACTCCAGGTGATCAAAGTGGATTCATATAAAAATTGAGGTGAAGATCATCAAAACCCACCCACTATTCTAAGTAATTGTTCCAAATATGCTTACAGAGGAGGGGAAAAACTTTTTTATAATCAATAAAACATAAGCTAAGAAATTGAACCAGGTCCTCTTGAGGTTAGTTCTAAGTTCTTGCCTTGTCTGAGTGATGCTCCATCGTCATGTCACATCTCCCAGTAGCCACGTCCCAGAGCTTCACTCGCTTGTCAGCACTAGCACTTGCAAGTATATTCCTGCATTATTGTTTTAGGGAACAGTGTGAGGAGGAAGGATCCCAGAGACCAAAAAATCATAAAAAACTCTTAGAAAAGGCATCCAGAAAAACAAACGCCGAATTATAATTCAAATTGAATGAAGTGGTACTTGTTCCAAGCAAGAGAAAGTACTGAATCAGTATGACTGCCATCCTTGAACTTTTTGGATTTCTGTCACCAAATTGAAAATTTTAACTAAATCAGAGAAATATGCTCATCTAGAGAATTAAAATCCAGTGCTGAAAAAGCTAAATGGACAAACAATAATTCACATATAAAAAGAATCAAAGAAAATACAGAGTTAATCAGATCTTTATCTACACTCAAGAACTCTTTTCTTTAGCGTCTAACTTTTTCAACTTCATATGGGACAAGCATAACATCCAAGCTAAAATAAAACAGCATTCATCAGAATGCAAGACCATTTCATCGATGTCTATATTCACAGTGTAAAGCCAAAACATCTGTATTTTGATTCGCATCTAGTAATACACATTAGCCAAAGGTTCACCATATGAAGTTCGAAAGCACCAAACATATATATCAATTAAGAGGTTTTGTGTCAGAATCCTGATTTCAAAAGGCGCAGATTTGAAGACTCAGTTATCTGAAATTCTGAACATGTATTGCTAAGCTAACTATCACCACATAGTTTCCATACTCAGAAAATGACCACATAGGCATCTTTTCCACCTAGACTCCCATTTTAAGCCTTTTCCTAGTATTAAATTACAATACTATGTTTCTTTTTAGAGATTAATGTAGCCAAATACGATTTTATGGGGATTCGAAATCCACAATTATCATAAATCTGAAACAAACCTTTCCTTTTTTCTTTTTCTTGGCAAAGCCTCCTAAAACCATACATGGCTTTACTTCATCAACCTGAGAACGACAGAAAATTAAATTTGACTTGGCAAAACAACCTCCCAGTTTGAGCAAATTTATTAGATATTAGTGATCTCATAGACACAATCCACTAACAATATCAAGGTCCCAAATCTCGATGGAAGGTTCATCCTCAAAACCGACAGCAATGAAGTTCCCTGTGAACAAATTGTAATCGCAATTAAGAGAGTCGGTTAAAGTCACAAAGTACATATCAAATGTTATGCCCACAGATAAACAATTACCTAACCATTGAAAAAAATTGTTTAATGGTCTACACCAGCTATGATTAAAAGCACTTATGAGCCTATTCAATCACCTGCAGAACGGAACTAATAGTTGGAGTTTTTACTTTAATTCCTCACTTGTGCAGCATACTAAAGTAACAATTATCGCATATAAAAACACATTATTCTGCAAGGTTTGTTTCCCTACAGATACTGAGATTATATTTGGGAAGGGGGAAGGAATAATTCATAAACGAGTGAAGTGCTTTTGCACCACACAAATGTATTTGATAAAAACTAATACGCATGCCTCAAGTATCAATGAAAATGTCAACAGGTCTCACCTCTTTCTCCCCCTTTAAGAGGGGAATCCGACCAAGCTGTGCAGAGTGGACATGCTGTGATTATAATATCATTGCGAATAAACTGGTTTATCTCACTGGAATTCGAGTCCTCAAGTATCAAAACCTGCCAGAGAAGATATAAATGACACTTCAATGGTCCATTTATCTACTATCTGATAAGGAAGATTGGAGATGTTGGACGGAACAGCAGATTATTCCAGAGCTAGCATTTTTCTTACCTCAAGACAAAAGTCATGTTTCTTTATTAATGCACAAACAACTACAGAATCTGTTGGATAAATTGTCATGTCTTCAAATTCCTCAGAGTCATCTTCCTGAATCACATAAAGGGAAATTATATTTAAGCATTAATAAAAGACAAGGATGATATCTAGAAAGCAACGTACACAAGTATTTTAACTTACATTTTCATGATTGAGATACGGATCCAGATCGTTACTTGGATAATAAAGATCACCAATCCCTGAACTAAATAGCTCAACTCCTATATTCAGCAGAATATGCAACTCATTCAAGGAATGGTAGGTACACTAAGAATCAGGAATATTATATATGGTACAACATAACACCCAAAGGGAAAAGACACAGAAGAAAGAACAATGCTCTCTTTCACATTATCCTTGGCAAATGTAATTCCACTACTAACAGTGCTTCTAACAAAAGAGCATCTAATACTAGCTCTGCATTAATTGAACAAAATCAGTTCAGCATACCTTCATCCTCTTCATCATATTTGTCCATGTCAAGCTCCTTTAAGCCAAGGGTTATATCATCACATTTTTCTACTAATGGCTTTCCAAGTGCATCTGCCACAGACGATGCTTGGGCAACTTCATCATCCTGATCATTAGCACCAATGTCCATCTCTTGATCATTTTCTTCACTCTCACTGCCTCCACTATAAAAAAACAAAAGGATCTTAAGTATTTGTAGCTTATATTTGATACTTAAACTTCATGAAACCAAACATGAAGACACAACTTCCATATCGTTCCAAACCAGCAAAATACATGCTTTCTAGGCTTGTGATTCGTATAATCAATATGTATATCAGGTTATACATCCCATCAGAAATGTTATAACAAATGCGTATGCATGTCAAAGCAATTTATAGAAGATATGCACCTTCCATTTCTAAGCTACTAAGGTGCTACAAACTAATGAACTCTGGCTATCTACAAAACCTCTCAATGATAGGTGACATTTTTTGGAATTTTGATAAAGCAATGCACAGCCTATTGTGCATTTGAATTCCCCAAGTAAATAGTGAAGTGTCTCTCAAACGAAGAAAGACATAGGAGGGGAGGAAGGAATGGATATTGGATAGTTTGGAGGAGACAAAAGATAGAGGACGGGCTCCACCCCCTATCTCCTCTCCCCAATTAATCCTCTTGATTGATTGAGGAATCCAGTACACATTTGGGCAGAAAGAGAGAAAATAAATCTCATATATACCATCTATCACTCTCTTTCCCCTTAGAGACACTATGCCATTGGGCACTTCCCGTTAACTAAATTGAATTGAAGGGACTCCAATTCCTCCTCCTGTTACACTTATCCATGGATCCAAGATAGGTAAAGAAAAAGAAGGAATAAATACTTTTATTGAAATATGAGCCTAAATTCATAAATTAATAAAGGACAGGAAAATCTAATAAGAAAGAGAGCAAGTATTTCACTCAACTGTTCCTTACTAGCAAAAGACTTGGGATAATCTCCAAAAACTAAACTAATATATTATTCACGAATGACTAGCTTTAGGGAGACTAGTCTATTTATAAACGAAGACTACATTAAAATAATCAAATCAAGCCTAGAAATAATCTCTAAGATATTCTGGATCCTATCAACAACAATATGGATCCTTATTTGATTCCTAAAATCTCTCATTAAATATTCAAACATTTAATTCAAGATAAACTCATTCAAATATTCAAAATCTTATCAACATTGACTCAATGGTAAACAAATCGTAATTGAGATACTTATAAATACTATCTCTATATTATTTGTAACAGAACATAAATTAACAACTCCTCAAAATATGATAACCCACTAATGTCATCCACTTTTATCCACAATCCCATGATATATGGCACTCTATCACGCTACTTGTCATCATCCATTTATCCCATTGCCACAAAAACTCACAAAAACAATTTGAATAAGGGATCACAGTCCAGAAGGAAGTCTCACTAATAAAACAGAGCACCAAATGAAATAAACGCGTTGATTCAGATATACACAAACCGAATATTTATACAACTCTATGCATGCTTCCTATACGGCTTAAATCAAGAAAAAAAGGGAAAATTCTGTTAAAAAAGAATAACACAATCAAGTGGAAGGATGATCAGCAATTGACGTGGCATTGTTGACTCTTGAATGACGACTAGGAAGTCAATGATGCCATGCTAGATGCTTTATCACTAACAAATGAAGAACGGGAATATACACACAACAAAAACAGGCAAAAGAACTGGCATCAGCATGTGCAGCCATAGTTTTGAATCCAATAAATGTCCCAACAGATAGAAGAGCAGAACATAAATAAAAAAAATACCTATTAATGAACTCCTCAATTTCCTCTTTTGAAGGAAGGTCAGTCAAAACAGGTTGGGACTTTGAAGCCCCTTTAGGGACCCAGGCAATGGCAGAAATCATTGTTGTTAACCAAGATCAAAACCTGCAGTGTCAACCAAGATTTATGAAAATGGGTTCATTCCATTGAGGTAGAAAGAAAAACAGATTCCAAACCGATGGACCAAGCTTGGTCCACTAGATTGGTCCAGGCAATTCAAGGCCCCAATCCCCCCCCCCCCCAAATTCCCCCAAAAAAAAAGAAAAAACCTCCTATGGGAGCAAGATTTCAAGCTGATATATGGGAGCAAGATTTCAAGCTGATATTTTGGGGGGGGGGGGTGTTATGCAAAGCGCACAGCATCTGTTCATCTAAATACTCCTCTTTCCAATTCTTATTATAAACTTCAAATAACAAATTCACGAATAACAAATAATTAGTTAAAATTAGTTAAAAACAATAAATATGTTAGAAATATATTTTTATTTCTAAATATGCTCTTATAATAAATGAGAAGAGGGATAAAAGAGTATGCATAGAAAAATGTGATAAAAGGGAAATAATTAAAGGCAACATTGAAAAAAAAAACATTAAATGTTAAGACAAACTCAAATTGAAGCTTATAAAATAGACCACATCCCTTATCAAATTTGAAACTTATAAACAAGATAAGAGGGAGTACTATATTATGTTAAAAGGAGTACCTAGCAGCAATTAGAGTATTCAAATTAAAACAATAGTTTATAAAAATACTATCAAAACTCTAAAAGAAATATTAAAATTCAAATTCATCACTCTCCAAAAGAGAGCATAAAGTCATAGTCACAAAATGATTATTAGGTAAACATATTGATTTGAATATAAAAAAAAAAGTAAAAATATACTTTTAGTTCTTTAACTTTATATAAGATTTCAGTTTAGCACATTAACTCAGTATATTTTACTGCACTAAATCTAGAACTGTTAACCGAAAAAAAATGACACTGAGATATTAAATAGTGACAAAAAGTCCATAGATACTATCATGTTAAATTTTGATTTTAAAAAAATCATCATTTAAAATTGGGATTGCATGCAGCGAATGATATGTTACACTCCCGGATCATACTTGTACTTGCATAAATCAGGTCCTTCTGGCCAATTAAAATTCCAAATAGGGATTTTTTTACTAATTTTTCCTTTAAAATTAAAAATTTTAGGATTAAAGGATTATATATTCTTTTTAAGATTAAGGGACTAAATTGAAATTAAGAAGAAAGATAGACGCTCTGGGGAAAGACGGAGAGTGATCGATCAGCGATGTAGGCCGGGAGGGGGAAGCCGCAGCTAGGGCTTTTTCCTGTTGGTGTGTTTGGAAAAATAATTCAGAAAAAAAAGTGGTTGAAAGTAATTGTGAAAAAAATAATAGGCTAAAACATACTATTGGTCTTTGAATTTTATACAAAGTTTTAATTTGACCCCTTAACTTTAAAAAATATATATTTGGTCTTTTAACCCCAAAATCATTAGGATTTAATGATAGATGTTTTAAAAATTAAACTTAATACGTTAGCATTTGAAAATATTTTATTAACATTTAATATCTTAATCTCATCATTTTTTAAAAAAGTTTTAAAGTTAAAGAACTAAAAGTATACATTTTAAAATTATTAGACCAAATTAAAACTTTGTATAAAATTAAAAGACCAAATGTATACTTTAGCCAAAATAATATTAATAAATGGAAAGTGAATTGAGAATTTACATAAAAATAATAACAATGATTGTTTAGTATTCTTAACTAATAAAATATATTTTGAAAATTTAATACACTTTTTAAATAATAATATGATTGTATCATCTTAAAAATACCAGGGTTTTTTTGGATAAAGGAAAAATACCGGGTTTATTAACCTTGATTAACAACAAAATTTTTTTACTCATTTCTATAATTTTGTTGAGAATGGAATTATTCAACAATTAAATTTAAGAAACTTGAGTTATAACTGAATCTAATTTTCTCATGTATTTTATAAGTGAAAAGGAGATTATTTTATTTAATCACAAGCCAACAAATTATATGGAATAAGATTCGAAGGCTTGACTTGACCAACGGGAATTAGATTTAGCAGAAAGGGTTAACTCCTCATAACGTGATGAACCAAAATTCAAATTCAAATTCTCATTGAGACAAGTACCCACATTTAGTACCTCTCAAATAAAATTGTCTCCAATTTACATGAAAGAAAGTAAGATTCACATGCTTAAAAAATCAAAACAATGCCCAACAATGAGAGAACGATTGGGGCTGCATTCCCAATAAAATATTAGAACAAACAATCAATACAAATTGGAGAACGACAGATGAGAAAGCGAAATTCTATACTAATGAGAGAGAGAAAGGAAGACGAGATCAAAGGAAGGAGATGCAAGAGATCCAAATTTATTGATCAAAACAGGTCATCAATCTTAATGAATCGCAACAAAGGGGAAAAGCGAAAAGTTAACAAAAGAAAAAGCAAACCTTAATGATCTTTTTCTTCTCTACCAAGGGTGGAAGAATTGTGATATTGGTTGTGCGTCGAAAAGAAAGCCTCAATTCTTATATTGAAGAAGAAGCTAAGCATTCAAATTCAATTAATTTAAATGGATAAAAAATAATCATTTTACTTTATTGCATACAGAAATTGAATATATTTTCCGAAATAAAAAGGGTATAAATATAATAAATTTTCTATATATATAAAACTTAAGGTAATTAAATTTGTTGCCTTTAATTCTCTACACTCTTCTGGAAAATGATTTTTGTGTAAAACGGAGATATGATAATTTCAGTAAATTAGATAATAAAATAGAGATAGTAGATAATATTAAAAAATAAATATATATCATATAATAAGTTCAGAAATAATTGAAAATTAAAATATTGGGTAAAGAAAAGATAATAAAAAATTATGATATATTCTTATTTTAAAAAAGATAAAGTTATTAAATTTGTTATCAATTTATTTATCATCTTATTAAATAAATTGATATTTATCCAAAAAAAATACAAAGATATTTTTAATGATTATTTTCATAAATTTAAGTATAAAACTGATAAAAATAGTGAAAATTTATGAATTATTATATATTAACTTATAAAAAACATATAACTAGTTATGTTACAAATTTTTGGAGGTTTTGTGGATCTTAAAAGTTGCCTGACATATAAATTTTGTCAATAACATTGATATTAATTGATTAAATATGACAATATTAATATATTATTAAAAATAATGTTTTTTAATTACTTATCACCAACACTACTACTACCTCCGGTCCTAATTATAAGAGCTAGTTGACTAATTTGAGGAGATTAAGGAAGTAAGTTGAGTTAGTTATTTGTCCTAAATAGGTGTTGTCTTTCCTAAAATATCATTACGAATTAAGTGTATTGATTAGAACTCTTATTATTAGAAGGGTTACTTTGGAAAAAAATATATATATAAATATGAGAGACAAAGTGGATTGAGGTATAATATTTAGGACCAAAATAAAAGTCAAACAGGGTCTTATATTAAGGATCAGAGGTAGTATTAGCAAAGTGATTGGTCACCCCCTGGCCAATCAAAGTGGTTGGCAAAAATGATATTTTAATTTTTTTTATATCTGTAAAATAATATTAGCTCTTTGACTTTAATTTGTAATTTTGAAAATTTAATAAGCACTCCTTTAAATCTTAATATACAGTAAACTAAGTAATTTTTTATATTAAAAAAGTTAAATAAGTTAATTGATTATAATAAATATAATATACTCACTAAAATAATTGTGTATAATATTATATCATACATTAATTTATAAATTAGATAAGTTAGTTTAAAATATTAGAGACAAAATTGACTGATTACATAAGGGGGTATTAAATTGTTCATAGGGCGTTATATGTAATTTTCTTCATCCTTTTCTATAATTTGTTAGATCAACTACTGTTCTGTGTTGCCCCAAAATAGAGTGTGCCCGGTGATCCTCGAAAAAGAGTAGAAGGGCAAAGATGGAGTTTAACCCCAGAATTTAAATTTACCATTAATGCGTTTATGCGGAGTATGACTCCAAATAAGAAAAAAAGGAGACAGCTTCCCGCCATTGGAGTATGGGTCCCTATTTCAGGATGAAGAGAGGGATACTGGATGAAGGCTCTTCTCTTCCATTCTTTTGGAAAAATCATTGTGAACTCACCAATCGTTATGAGACTTCTGTGGCCATCTCCCACCTCACTTCTCTCTTGCTCTCAGAACCCTGAAGTTCATACGTTTCGCGGGTTTGAGCTTGCGGATTCAAGTACATGCATTTCAGCATTTATGATCTTTTCTGTCAATATTAGATTAATTTATTTTTTTGGAAGCTAGATAACCTAAGAAAGCAACTTAAAAGGTCTATAATGGGGGGTACTTTTGACAGTTCTTCTTTCTTAAGCCTTTGCATAATAGCTGAATAGCTGAACCTCTCAAACCTTTCCATGCAAACACTACATGCCTCATTCTAGATCTGAAATTTTGCTTGTTGGCTGACTATGACAAAGTATTTTCAGTGCCTGCATTGGCAAGATTTTTAAGATAGTGAGAAATGATGGTGGCTTGCTGGACTAGCCATATATGATCGTGAATTCATGATGACATTTATATTTCAGTAATGAAGCTGAGGATAGTGCCTACTAGAGAAAATAATCTTGGGAGAATTACAACAAGGTCCTAAGGAAAGAAAAAAAATTACAAAACTGGTTTCAAAGGTTGTCATTTTCCACTCTAGAACTTGTCATTCCAAGTTGTTCAGGTTGTTATTGAGACCTTTTAGTAATTATTTCTCTTTCTTGGGATTTGATTGTAATTCTCTTGATAATCTTTCAGCAACATGATAAGCTAACTTAAATAGATAGTTAGTGATTCTTGAAGCTGAACTTACTAAAGTATACTCATTGGGCAGAGTATTGTTGACATCAATCATTGCATGAGTCTATTGTAAGTAGAATTTCATAGCTTTCATGTACAGGTTGCTCATAGGTATGTTATGTGGTGTTAAACTATATGCATTTTCCCATTAACCGCTTGATCAAGGGATTCATATGAGCATATTTCTATTACTACTGTATACATGTTAACATAATGACCTCTTCCAAACTAAAATGTGTTTGCAACAAAGAGTTTTTGGAAGATAGGAAGAAGCATTTTCTCCATGGCCAGGGCTTGACAGTGTAAAAAACCTCACGGTACGATGGTGTCATGCCAACTTCAAAAGGTTCAGTTCAGATGCATAAGGCTTTTGGTCTCTCAGTTATTTTGGCCCAAACCTACCAAGATTGGGGTCTGAAATATAACAAAGAATATGAATAATTAACTATAATATACTCATGGTTCAAATTGCATGAAGTAAACAGTTATGCACACGAGTTCAGGATCATAATACTTCTCCGATCCTTAATATAAGACCCATTTAACTAATTTAATTAGATTAAGAATATTAAGTAAGTTAGTTAATTATAAGAAATATCACACGTTTTTTCTAAAATACCATAATCATCTTTCTTAATACCTCATCATCTTCTTCTACTTGATTATAGTTGAGGGAGTATCTATAGGGGTAATTTAGAAAAAATTGATAAATATAAAAAATAGGTCTTATATTTAGGACTAAAACCAACTCAGCAATTGGATCATATATTAAGAATCGGAAGAGTATCAGTTGGTTGTGCTCTAATACTCCAGCTTGCGCTCCTTTTCCGTGCATATTAAAGCTCCTTCATCTTCCTTCCTCCCGATCCCTTTCCTCCAACACTTGCAATGTCTTTCGCTGAAGGTTTCGATGGCTCAGCATCCAGTGATGATCTCACTCAATCTCAACTCCGTACTTGTGCTCCCTCTATTGTAATCACAGAGGACCTTATCTATAGCTACTATGAAGAGCATCTGAAAACAGGGCGCGTAGGTAAAAAGCTCAACTACGGCTGTAATATCCTAATTTTCATATCTCTAATATTTAAACAATTTTTTATAAAATAGGTAGATGTTAAATATATATAGATGCAATTAAAATAATTCTACTTTTTATGCGCGTGTATGAGAAAATGAGTAAAATAGCAATATTAAGAAGTCCCACATTGATTAAATGATAAGAAGATGGATAAAATAGCAATGGTATAGAAGTCCCATATTGACTAGTCACTAGAGTGAAGGAGCTTGAAGAGCCTATATATAGGAGGTAATGGGTGAAGTTTGGAATGAGTAAATAATTTCGCACATATCTATGATAGCTTAAAAAAAGTGCTAGTTTTAAGTTCATTAACCGTTGGATCGAATTAATATTTGGTCAGCCTATTTGAGACATCCAAATCGTCAATTTGAATGGTTGGATCGTCATTTTGATCTCTAAGTTACAAGTTATTAGGTACATTTTCAACTTGTTTTTTTAGATTTAGCAGATAGAGTCCTGAATAGTATATTAGTATTTTTAAGTTCGTCCACCGTTAGATTGAGTCATAATTTGGAGGATAGTATCATGATAGATAAGAAATTAAATTCAACGGTCAGATTAAGGGTTTAACCTCTGTAGTGAGAATACCCTAACTTGTATTAAATCTATTTATCTAAATCATTCGAAGATAAAACATAAGTTATAAATTGGGGTTTTTCTATTTACGTTATGAATTTGATAATTCTAATAATATAATCTAATAATCAAAGGACATATTTAAGCAAGAAAAATTTAGGAATTGAGTCTAAATCATATATATGTTCTCATTCCAAATATTAAAAAAAGTTCTTTTAGGCTAGAATTCTGAGTAAAAAAATTAAAACTTTTAGAGGAAGAGTTAGAGATTAGGATTTTGTGAGTAGCCTACCCTAATACTATAGAGAAAACATTTTAATTTCGTTTGTAGATATAAACCCTATTGTGGTGTTTTCAAGGCTGGACTTTGGTTGTATTTGCCTGTTAGCTAGGAGACCAAATAACTAAATTTCTATCCGTTACATGCATTGGTATAAGGTTGGTGAGTGATTTTATAACCAAGTTTCGTATACATATATTATGTTTTGTATGAATTGTCTTGTGGAGTACTATTTTGAAAAGGGTTGAAATCATTTGCATTGATAGAAATTAATAATTATGACTATGAGATGTTATTCTGGAATTTGGTTAATTATGCATATAAATGTGTTATTTTGAACCCTGTGCATCTAGTTTAGATGGGAGAAGGAGATGATTGGAGTTATTGAGATTTATATACTTACCACGTGGTATCGGCCTCCATACGGAGCTCTATGGTTGGCCACTATTATTGTCCCACTAGTTCTTCGAGGGACTGCGACACCCCATTAGTTCTTCGAGGGGGACCCATGGTCCACCGAGTACTCTATGGTCTTTGGCCGGTCTATATCACTCTTGTGGTGAACTTGTTAGAATAATTAGTCAAATGGAAAGAACTTAGCCCATGGATCCAGTCGGCAGAAATAAGGAGGATATAAGGATGAATTTGGGATTCATGGATTGCATATAACATGGAATCTTCATTGATATTTATA